ATGACAGCTCTTGTGACAGTAAGGTTTTAGCCTGGATAATTTTGTTTTTAATATATTTTGATGTAAAATAGCTTTTTAATTGTGGTCCTTCTGAACTGTCAGCATACAAGGCAGTCTCCAACCATAGGTCCCTGGTAACAGTGTGCGTGTAGCAGCCTGTGTCAAGGGGCACATCGGTGTTGAGTCAGTTCTCAAAGCAGCCTAAAGCCATGTTGGACTTTAGAGGGAATAAGCCCAAATGAGGATCTGTAATGAGAGGAGCACACCTGGGAGCAGGCATTTTTGTGAAACAGAGCAGCATTTACTTTGGACTTGTGTTCTGGTAAGTGCCTTGTCACTCTTTACTCTTGTGCTGTGAGTGCTGTGACTGGTGTCTCAGCTTTGCAGGGTTCAGTGCCAAGACCTTGGGCTGCCGACAGAGCAGGGCAGCTGCGGGAGTCAGTGCCTACGTGGCACCATGTATAGCTGTTGGGAAGTGCTTGGCTCGGTTTACTTCCCAACAGCACCTGTGATGCTTTGACCCTTTCTGGCTGCACCAGTTCTGTCTCCTTTGCTGCAAGCCAACCTCATCTTGCTCTCCAAACCCACCGCTGAAGTTAAGGACACTTAGAGTGAACATAGTGGTGGTGAGAAGGAGGTCTTGTTAAATGGGGAGTTGTGCAGTTTTTTTCTTGCCACAAAGATATGTGATTAGTTGTGTCTTGCTAACAAACAGCAGAGTGGAGCACAGCTTGCATACAGGAGCTGCACGCAAGCTGGATCAGGGCTTGTCTGATTACGTTGGTTTCTTTTTTGCTGTCCTTGGCAATGTTCCCAGCTGTTTTGCTGCTTCCCTCTCTCTGTGTTGTAGAAAGCAAGGGAGTGGGGGGCTTGCAGTCCTGGGACATCGCCGCAGAAGGATGGGGAACTTGGTCTGTCTTGCTGCTGTGCTTCAGTCATCATACCCACAGCTGTATTGCGTCCCTGCCTGTACTGTTGCTCCCATCAGGATCAGTCTTGGCTTATCATCACCCCTATCTCTGCTCCCCTATGCAGTCACTTTGGATTCAGAAGGAAACCTTCTCGCAGCAGAGTTAGTCACCCACCTAGGTGCATTGTTCTTCTCCAGGAAGTTGGAGGGTTTGTGATCTGCCTGCTCCACCTACCTCTGCCTATTCAGACAGCCAGTTTCCTATGTGACAAGAAAAATACAGTTACAATCATTGTCTTCCCACAGGAAGAGATGAAAGAGAAGGTTTGGACAAAGGCAGGCCCCCTTGAAATTGCCCCTTCTGGCATATGTCTGCAGTGTCTGTCTTCTGTCTTGGATATCCAGAAGGTGTCTTAGAGATCATTGGACCTTGAGTATGAGAGGAATCTGGTGGGTTTGTGATAGGTTTGGGTTGGGGAGGTGTAATATCTGAGTGGTGGCTCAGGTGAGGATCTGGGACCCCTGGAAAGCTTTCTGTGCAGTGCTAGCAATGTGCCCTGAGCCAGGGCCAAGCAGGTTCTCTTGGCCTGTATTTGCAGGTGGCACTTCAGTGGTGCCAAAGACAACAGGCTCTAGGAGCTTCTGTGCTCGAATCGTTGCAAGCTTTGCCCATCGTGAAATGAGCAGGGACCAACACAGGTGATGGGCTTGAGGGTTGCACCGATGCTCCAGTCAAGTCCCTGGCTCTTCCTTATGGCACAGCAGGTCCCTGAGAGCCCCTGCCTCCCCTGGGCAGCCTGGCAGGACCAACCTGTTACTGACTCCTCACGCAGCTACTGGATAGGTCAGCCCTGTGTATGCAGGAAGCACATTTGTCTTTAATCCTGTAATTGAGAGTTTCGGTAACAACTTGTCTGTAAAGATCAAAAGCTGAGGTACAGGCTCCTTCGTGCCTGGTTCCAGACATGGTTGGGAAGATTCAGCTTCCCTGCACACATGTGCCTCCTCTTATATACAAGCAGCTCTTGCAGAGAAGCTGTAGGGCTCCCTGCTCCCCAAAAGCCCCGCAGCTGGAGGGCAGTATCCTGGCTTGGCTGAGCGTGGCTTGTAACCTTACTGGGACACAGATGACAGCAATACCCTTGCCTGCATGAGGATGTTCCCTCATGGGTGCCAGGGCACACTTGGTCCCTGAAGAGGGCTGCCATTTCGTGTGCTAAAAGGGGCAGTTGAAGCAGATGATGTGACTGGAGAAAGCCTTGGTGGCCACTTAGCATGTTACCAAGCAAGCTGCAGGGTGTGGAGGGCTGTTCCCATTGTGCAGGGAACAAAGCTGAGCTATTCACTGGCCTGCGACAGGCACTGGGGACGGAAGAAATGCCATTGAGAGTTAGAGTCATTTCTGTGCAGCCCTTGGAGTCCTCGCCAAGAACAGACAGATACCATATGAAGATGAGAGGTGGCGGGGCTGCCTCCCTGGGTGGTTTGCAGCCCTGATTCCTCCTCGCTGTGGCCCCATGCAGATCTGTGGAGTTTCCTAGAAATAAAAGAAGCCTCTCTTGTTTCTCTCCCATCTGTGAGTGAGGTCCCCAGTCTCAGAGGAGGCCTTCACAGGGCAGCTGCCTTCCTGACTGGCTGCTGTAAAGGCTAGGCTGGCCTGCTGGGCTGTGCCTCTCGTGCACATTGCTCTCAGCACCCTCTTTCAGAGCCCCATGTGCCTCTTGGGCTCAGCTTTTCCCATCAGTGAGTGAAAGAGTGCCAGCATGCAGTCTTTGGTCATGATCACCCATTGACCTCCACAACCAGAGAGGTGAGACAGTGAGATGTGCCCTTAGCCCACACTGATGGCCAGCCCTTGCTCAGGGCAGAGCTGGAAGGGGCTGGTGTTGGTTTGCGTACAGCTGGAGGGAGCAGCTCAAAAAACCACAGCAAAATAGGCCATCTGTCACTGCCGTGCGGATCTGATGGGCTCTGCTGCACTCAGCGCTTCACCTCACCTTGATGAGCTTCTGCCTCCAAGGAATAAAAGACCCTCTGCCTCACCGATAAATGCAGACTCTCACCAGGGTGTCACCTGGCATGTCCTCTGCCTCTGCACGCTCCTCCTGGCCCCCAAGAGTGGGCAAGTCTAGAGCACAAAGCCTGGATCAAGAGAGAAGCAGGTCAGGGGCCTGTTGCTGTACTAGGCAGGGTGATGGGAGGAGGGGGGGCTGCTGCTCTTTTGATTGTCCCGTGCTGTGGTTGCATGGGGCTGTTTGAGAAGCATTTTCCCCGAGCAGCTGCTGGTGTTTCTGAAGCAGCTCCTTGCTCCACATGAGTAATGGGGCTGGCTGCACGCACACCGTGCAGCTGCAGCTCAAAAGAGCAATGCGGACGGCTGTGGGAGCTCCTGTGGCATCCGTCCCTGGAGTGACTCCGCTCAGTCTGCAGGCTATGCCTCATGTGCTGGCATTCAGCTCTTGTACGAACAGCAGCGCTTGGCTCTCATTGCTGTCCCCATCTAGGGGGTAGGCACCACGTGAATGAAGCACCTCCTGCCCTGCCTACCTCTGTCACCAACAGAGAGTGAGCCTGGCACCTGATCTGTTTGACCACCACGTCCCTGATTGGGATGAAGTGTCTGCTCCATGTCTGCATAAAGCTTGGGTGCATTTTCTTGGTGTCTAAGGCTCTATTCTGCATAAAAATAAGTGCTTTAAGCTCTCCAAGTGAAGGCTGTCATAGTAAGGCTGTTCGGCAGGTGGAAAATGGTCTAAGGCTGGTCACTTTGTTCCTGGCACTAAGCATGAGTGTTGCTTCGCTGCAGAAATGCAGCAGGTATGCAGGGCCTGACAGGTCAAGTGCTAGAGATGGTCTGGCTCATGGTGGTGTTTCTGCACATCCGCTGGTCTTGGGCAGTTGGTGGAAGGTGCCAGGCAGGCCTGTCCTGGATGTTTTCCCTGCCTTGTGCATCTGATTTTAACAAATAACTCTGTGTTTTTGCTGATGAGCAGTAAAAGTTCCCTGGCCAGGCCTGTGGCAGCTGATCACATCTCATTGACTCCTAGTTAAACCTCGTCATTATCCCTGCTTTATAGAGAAAGTAGTGGCTTATGAGCCTGACTAATTCAGATGTGTCTTTCCTCTCATTTGTATCGATGACGGGCAGGTCTTAGTGCACAGTGCTTCATTAGCCCCGTTCCTGCGATGGTGGTAAGGCACTCTTACCTTGCGTCTGTCACATTGGAACACATTTTGTCCTGCTCCTCTTGTTTGACTGATGTGGCAGAGCTGTTTTAGCAAGGCCAGCACATGCACCACTGCTAGAGTTAAGTCCCATGAAACTGCTTCCAGCATTTCTGGAGCATTAGGAATAAACTGCTGAGCTTGATATTTAACTAACCAGCACAAACATGTAATGCAGTAGCGAGCAGAGCCAGGCAGGTAAGCAGGGCACGGCACACCACATGGGTGCCAACAGGCATGGAAAATGCACAAGCTGCATCTGGGCTTGCACCGTCTCAGATTCCTGCTTGCTGCAAGGATGGGTCAGAGCACTCAGGGTGATCCACAGAGCCGCACTCTGATCGAGCCCCAGGCCTCTGCGTGCTGTCAGCTACGGGGAAATGGCATGGGGAGCAGCAGTCCCATTCCCTGCAGCTTACTGATGCCCCCTTGACCTCATCCTGTGTGGTAGTGGTGAGAATGGCTGGGCAAAGGAGGAGAGTGAGTTCCAGGTTTTACACCTCAGCGTGGCCCTGCTCGGTATGAATTCCTGCAGTCTTGGCAACAGCTTCCCCTGGGCCCCCCTGCCCAGAGAGGACAAACGTGCCCAGCAGCGTGGGTGCCCAGCGTCACAGGGACCTGGTGGGGAGGTGGAGCTGTGGCAGAGCAGCCAGCACAGCTGAAGCCCTCTGCATAAGGAGCTGTTTGTTTTGCTGAATTGTTAAGCCCCATTGACAATAGCAGCCCCCCCTCCTCTCACACTCGAGGAACTGTGGTGGCCACACACTGATCCTTTCTCTTGTCTTGCGCTTTAGGCACCGAATTAGGGTTATTCTTCCCTGAATCCCTCTGACTGGCTGTTGCCTTTTGTTCTCTCTCTCTGCAGGCATACGAGTGGGCCTTGGAAGGGATGCGACACCTTGCTTGCATCAGCATGGAGGACTGCAGCTCTGCTGAACACTGTGCAGGTGTGATCAAGTGCCTGGAGAGTTACAAGGGGCAGCACCCGGACATCAGCGATGCCCGGTTCCAGGAGATGAAGGAGCTGGCCTGTGAGCTGAAGAGTGACAAGGGACTAAAGCAGTGGAAATTTGCATGGTCCAAATGCCAGGAGACCAAGCTGGTTTTTGAAAAGAAACTCGAAGCAGCCTTGAGAACAAGAAGGTCTCTGCTGTCAGACCGCAAACCAGCTGTGGGGGAGCAGCCCCAGGCTGGCAGCGAAGCTGGCAGTCTGTCCCACCGGAGGCACTCTGAGGGGGCCACCTCTGGGTCCCACTGGGACAGGACTTCCAGCACATCCCACTGCTGCAACAGGCCCAACCGCT